GGGGTCAGTGTTTGATTAATCTTTGAATTTATTAATTTGAACTGCTGGAAAGACTCCCTCCAATGTCCCAGTGATGGAGAGGATCCATTGGGTGCTGCTGAGTGCAAAGGGATTTTTGGCTCTCGTGCATCTTGTGCATGATCTGCCCTCCCTTGTTCATCCCATCATCATTCAGATCAATAACTCTCTTCATTATTCCATTATTGCTTTCTGTTCTCTGTGAGATTTCAGTGGGGTTGGGCTGGGCTGTGGTGTGTTTATTTTAAGTTGATTGAAGTCAGCTTGGACTTGAAGCCATATTAATGTGGAGCCCTCAGTGTGATGCTTCTTGTAAAAGTTCTTATTTTGCTTTGGGTGCTGGGGTGGGTTTAGGCAGTAGATGAGTTTCCTTGGCTCCTTGTGTGGGTTCCCCTTTCTTTTCACCCACCTCCCCCTTCTCTCACAGGGCTGGAGGCTCCCAGGAGGCTTCTGTAGTGTTTGTAAACAAAAACTAAAAAACCAGATCAAGAGGATGGCTGTAGGTGGGTTTGGTGGGGGAGCAGGTTAATTCTTACTGGCTCAGGAAGCCTGGTTGTGGTAGAGCTGGTCTCAAACATCTGAGGGAATTCCAGAAGGAAATGCCCAGAAGGGTGGGTAGGGAGCAAAGAAGATTCAGAAAATTCCAGTTTTTTTCTGATGCTAAATCAAAGGTATGAGTTGAACACACTGATTCCTGGATATCAAGCTGGATGGAGACAGTTGGCAAAGAGTTGACATGAGTGTCTCTGTTTTCGTCCTACAAGACTGGAAATATAGAGAGATCAACCATCCTTGAAACTTGGCAGTATTTTAGTATTGCTAGTATTGAAATGTCAGCCTGGAGAAAGCAATTCTAAGCAGGTTTTTAATACTTCTCTTATTGAAACTAATTAAAGTTGAAACTGTTGGAAAAATGACCTGTTTTGAGATGCATTCAGAGGAACATAGTTACCCTTGGGAAGAGTTAAATATATAATAGGAATTCACAGAGTTACAATTAAGAAAAATACTTGTGTTGCAGCTTTAGGTGTGAGTTAGGAGTGGTAGATTAAAAGCAGCTTCCACTTGAAATCTGAAGGTTTTTGCAGTGTTCCATAGTGATTTGCTGCTGGATTATGAGGCAGGGTTTTTAGCAGCCTTTCTGCTTTTAGGAAACCAAAATCAACTTTCCTCCTGAGCTTACTTCAGTTTTGTGCTTTCTGACATGCTTTGATGTGTGTGGTCTGGCTCAGTGTGCTTTACCTGCACCCTAAGCAGTTAAAAGGATTACAGAGATGCTGCTCTCATTAGTGTTCTTAAAGTCTTGGACAAATCAGGAGATCTAATGTGCAGTGTAAGGAGATGTGCCTGCAGTTGTGGAGCTGCCAGTGAGATCTGTGTGCTGGCACGGAACCTTCTCCTGGGCTGTTCCTGCTGGGAAGGGCAGGTCCTGGAGCCTCCAGGAAGGTTCTTGTGTCCTTGGTTTCACCCTTGCTCCTACCTGGGCTCCCACTGGGGCAGGAGCAGCTCTTCCCAGGACAGGGAGCATTCCTGGCATGTGCCAAAATTCCCATTTTACAGCAGTGCTGGGAGGGCTGCTCCCAGGGCAGGTTCCTATAGCTCCTGCACGTCCATCCCTGAGCACATTCCTGGTTTCTGTCAGGGCTTTGTGCTGCTCCTCAGCTCCTGAAAGGCTCATGGAGTCCATGGGAGTCTCCTCTTTCCTCCCTGAATCACAGGTCCTGGCAGGGAGGAATGGCTCAGGTGAGGAGATGAAACCCATCTCCCTTTGAGCAGGGCTGGCAGTGCCAGGCAGGCTTTTCCTGGCAATCCAAATTTCCAGACAGGAAAACTGGGAAAAAACCCAACAATTGGATAGAAAACTATTCCTGCAAGAATCCTTCAGTGAGGGTGAAAGGAAAAGCCAAGCTCCATTTGGGCTGAGTGCTGTGTGTGGCAGCAGATGTGGACAGGGAATGTGTAATTGGAAATATTTTTGATGTTCTGCAGAAATGTGGGACCAAAAGCAGAATTTGATCTGAACTGCATCATTAATTGGGAATAGGATATAGGGGAAGGGGAAATGTGGTGCAGAGAGTTGTGGAAGAGGGGTAATGAATATTTTTGCTCATGGTTGTTACATGTCTTGAGGTGTGTGATAGAAACAAGTGGAAAAATGAGCAATATTGGTCCTCTAAAGTACAACTAAAGGAGCTTGAGAGCCCACTCCTGTTATCTGCAGCTCTTCTAAAATAGCTCATAAATTCCTGTGGCCTTCTAGGTCCAAGGCATGATTCTCCCTGAGTTTCTTCATGCAGGTCCTGACACCCCCAGCAGCACCTGGGGGTGGCTGGTGGAGTTTGTAGGGTGCTGAATTGTTCTTTTTTCGGGACCTGAAGCAGAACTGTGTTGCTGTAGCTAATGCTGAGGGCAGGGTTTTGGTGACATGTTCTGTAAGGCACAAAGGAACTGCTGCACAAAGAGTTTCAGCCCCTGTGCAGGGTTTCACGTGGTGTGGTCAGAACTTCCTGAAAGAAACTTCCCTTTTCTCAGCTCTTTGCTTCAGTGCTGCTCTTGACCTCTGCAGCAACCATTTACAGCTCCAAAATCATATGAAGCCATCTCTGAGGACATAAGAAATCTTGAGGGTAATAATTAGGCTTGAGGGAGATGATAAACCAGTCTGACCTTCAGAATTTGTATGAATGTGTCTTGCTCTAATTCAACAGTGATTTGAAAAATAAAATTCATCTTTAAGCAGTAGTTTTTACTATGTGCTAATGGTTTTGGAAAGCAGAGTTACAGTGGGAATGTTTGTACCAAGACTAATGTGTTTGATTTGTTTGATGCAGAAAAACAACGTAGTAAGTTCTGCTGGAGTATAAATAGGATGATACTTCTGTATTTATTTTATTTTCTTATATAATTTTTTTTTAATTGAAATGGACAGTGAAAACTTGTTTTAACAGAAGTTATATAAACATTTGAATCTTAGTTTGTCCTGAAATACATTCTCACTAAACTTTTTGCAATAAACTTTGTTAGCTCACAAGTGATCTCAAGTTTTGACAGCTAAGAATCTTTTTTTCTATGTAAATGTTATTTCAGTGTGATTTTCTCTACTTTTCCCTCCTGCCTTACAAAATTAGCCACATCTGTGTCTTTTCAGTACATTCTTTTCTAGTACAAATGGTGCTGCAGTAATTTGGTTTTTATTAGATTAAAAGACCAGGATATGAGATGTTTAGTGGCTCATATATTATTGGAAAGCCGCTAATAAAGGAAATAAAGGGTGTTGAGACGTGAAAAAGGAGTGTAATGTGCTAAATGAGAATGGCAAAGCCTTGAATTTGAGTTTTGATCTCTTGAGGTGTGTGCAGAGCACTGGGGGCACTTTGTGTGCAGGTTTTGTTTGAATGTGGAGGTGCAGAAATTGGGTGTTGGATTACCCCAGGCCAGAATCCAGCCTGTGGGCTCTCACTTGGATCAAAAGGCTTGATTTTATTCAAACTTTCATTGGTTTAGCTACTTGAAAACCAACCCAAATCAGCCTTACAGGGAGGGGTTTTCATCTGTAGAATTTGACTTTTCTTATGTCTAGAGATTACAGATCTTGAGCTTCTTCTGTTTTGTTGTTTTCCTGATACATTTTTGTGTGTTTGACCCAAGGCAGCACTAAAAATCAAGTTTAGGTTTGATTTGGTTTGGATAGAGTAGTTTTAATGGTAAATATCTGACATTTTTGTTCTGTAAGTCTATACACATCAGCTGCTGGATGGCTTTCAGCTGGTATTTCCTACAGAACTTCATCTCTCAGTTGTCAGAAAACCTCAAAGTTCTGCATATGGGGAAGGTTTCACTGTGTGTGAAAGCTCTTGTATGTGTAGCTGCTGCAGAGCTGGTTGTTTTTCATATCCTGCTCTTGAGACGTGTTTGGTTTGGTGAGACAGGGAATTTTGAGTTGGATTATTGCTGCTCTGCAGTGAATCTCCTGTGTTCTGAAGCCATCATTAATTTTAGCACTTGAAAAAATTAATGCTACTCCACTACTAATGTAATTAATCTCCCTGAAATAAGTCCTGCTGTCCTAATTGAATATCCACAAAGGAGCTGAGCATCACTTAATTACACTTCTCAAAGTTGTTTTAGTGTGTAAAAATACCCAATCGCTTGGAAAGCTTCTTGAAGATTAAATTCTCAATAAATTGTATAGAAATTTAAGATCCAATGGCACATCTGTGAAGTGTGAGCCACTACCTAAGTTATAAATAGGTTTTCAAACCTTTATGGGGGCTGTTCATAGACATCTTTAAATGTCAATTTGGCTCATGTAGTAACTCCTTTGCAGCTCTGCTGAGGATTTAAAACTAATTTAATGATTACAGAGGATAACAAAGCAGGATGCTGGTGTTTTATTGCTTCATCTGCCTCCCTGACCTCATGGAAATAGATTATATTGGAAATCTTCCTGGGCTACCTGGGAGAGCACTGAGACATGCTGTGGCATTTTCAGGAGCATCCCTGAAGTCACCCCTGCTATCTGGGCACAGCTCTCTTAATGCTTGTCTTGGGGCAGGCTGGCCCATAGACTGTTCTAAAAAATAATCTAAAAAATACAAGTGTCTTAAGTTTTGTTATCTAAAATCAACATGCGAAAAAATTAAATATTTGCTTGGGGACAACAAATGACTTTGCTAAAAATACAGGGAATTTTTTTGGGAAGAAATAAGTAGGAAAAAGTGAGTATGATGTGGAAATGAGGGAAATCCCCAGCTGGGTGGGGGATCCTTTTCTGTAGAGGTCTGTGGGGTTTTTTGGGATAAGTTGAGGGAGTGTATTTTGGGGTGCAAGCTGTTCCACACCCGTTATGGCTGGATTTTAACAACAGTGCCAGGCTGGCCTGCCTTACCCAGGTGAGGGGAGGAGTGTGCTTTGTGCTCGTGCTTGGGGCGGGTTGCTGTGAGCGCTCTGGCTCAGAGCCTGTGCTGTGCTCTGTGTTGCAGTGGGGGTGATCCGCTGCCCCATCTGCCGCCAGGAGTGCCGGCAGATCGACCTGGTGGACAACTACTTTGTGAAGGACACCTCGGAGAGCCCCAGCAGCTCGGACGAGAAGTCAGAGCAGGTGGGGACCGTCCTGCCTGCCCCAGCCTCTGCTCTCTGGGGCTGCCAGTGCTCCCCAGGACAATTCCTCTGCCTTTTCCCCATCCCTCCTCTGCCTTTTCCCCACCCCTCCTCCCCAGGATGATGCTGGTGCTTTTTCCCCACTCCTCCTCTGATTCCTGGTCCTGCCAGTGCTCCCCAGGATGATGCTGGTGTCTTTTCCCCACCCCTCCTCTGCTCTCTGGGGCTGTTAGTGCTCCCCAGGACAATTCTTGTGGTTTTCCTCACCCCTCCTCTGCCTTTTGCCCACCCCTCCTCTGCTTTCTGGGGCTGCCAGTGCTCCTTAGGTGCCTTTTCCCCACCCCTCCTCTGATTCCTGGTCCTGCCAGTGCTCCCCAGGACAATGCTGGTGCCTTTTCCCCATCCCTCCTCTGCCTTTTCCCCATCCCTCCTCTGCCCTCTGAGGCTGTCAGTGCATCCCAGGATGATGCTGGTGTCTTTTCCCCACCCCTCCTCTGCTCTCTGGGGCTGTTAGTGCTCCCCAGGACAATTCTTGTGGCTTTCCCCACCCTTCCTCTGCCTTTTCCCCACTCCTCCTCTGCCTTTCCCCCAACTATTTCTGCTCTCTGGATCTGTCAGTGCTCCCTAGGATGCTTCTGGTGCCTTTCCCCACCAACCCTTTCTTTTCTCTGGGTCTGTCTGTTCTCCCTAGAGTAATTCTGGTGCCTTTTCCCCACTCCTTCTCTGTCTTTTCCCCACCCCTCCTCTGCTCTCTGGGGCTGTCAGTTCTCCCTAGAACAATTCTGGTGCCTTTTCCCCAACCTTCCTCTGATTCCTGGTCCTGTCAGTGCTCCCCAGGACATTGGTGGTGTCTTTTGCCCAGCCCTGCTCTGCTCTCTGGGGCTGTCACTGCTCCTTAGGACCTTTTTCCACCCCTCCTCTGCCTTTTCCCCAACCCTTTCTACTCTCTGGGGCTGTCAGTGCTCGCCAGGATGATTCTGGTGCCTTTTCCCCACCCCTCCTCTGCCTTTTCCCCAACCCTTCCTACTCTCTGGGGCTGTCAGTGCTCCCCAGAGCGATGCTGGTGCCTTTTCCCCACCCCTCCTCTGATTTCTGGTCCTGTCAGTGCTCCCCAGGACAATGCTGGTGCCTTTTCCTCCCAGCCCTTTCTGCTCTCTGAGGCTGTCAGTGCTCGCCAGGATGATTCTGGTGCCTTTTCCCCACCCCTCCTCTGCTCTCTGGGTCTGTCAGCTCTCCCTAGAACAGTTCTGGTGCCTTTTCCCACCTCTGCTCTGCTCTCTGAGGCTGTCAGCTCTCCCTAGAACAATTCTAGTACCTTTTCCCCACCCCTCCTCTGCTCTCTGGGTCTGTCAGTGTTCCCCAGAATAATTCTGGTGCCTTTTCCCCATCCCTGCTCTGCGCTCTGGGGCTGTCAGCTCTCCCTAGAACAATTCTAGTACGTTTTCCCCACCCCTCCTCTGCTCTCTGGGTTTGTCAGCTCTCCCTAGAACAATCCTGGTGCTTTTCCCCCAACCCTTTCTGCTCTCTGTGTCTCTCAGCTCTCCCTAGAACAATCCTGGTGCTTTTCCCCCAACCCTTTCTGCTCTCTGGGGCTGTCAGCTCTCCCTAGAACAATCCTGGTGCCTTTTCCCACCCCTCCTTTGTGTTTTGCCACCCCTCTGTGCTCTGTGGGGCTGCCCAGCACAGCTGTGGTTTCTGTTCCCCCAGGTGTGCACCAGCTGTGAGGACAACGCCAGTGCCGTGGGTTTCTGTGTGGAGTGTGGGGAGTGGCTGTGCAAGACCTGCATCGAGGCTCACCAGCGAGTAAAGTTCACCAAGGACCACATGATCAGGAAAAAAGAGGATGTGTCCTCAGGTGAGTGTTGCCTGTCACTTGTCCTGCCTGTTCCCAGAGCCTTTTCTCTTCATATGTTAAAAAAAAGATGGAGGTAACAACCAGCTCTGTGTGTTTTCCCCCCGGGATTTGGGAAAAGTGCCCTAAAAAGTTACCAGTGCAGAATTAGTAGCTGTAAAAATAGAGGAAGAAGTAAATTTATAACAGTGATACTTTGTGCAGTTTATGTCCAGTACATTTGGAAAGAATTTAGATCCATTCTTAATAATCTTTGTTTAGTAGAACAAGTAACTAAATGGAGGGGCTGGAATCTGGAGAGCAGTGGCATACTGATAATCTTACCCATTGTCCAAGGGAATTAATTTACCCATTTTGCTGTATTTTGTTATGAGAAGCAATTGTAGTTCTCCCTGTAGAAGTGTATATATAAATTTATATATAATTATAACTATATAACTACGTATTTTATATAGCTGCCTTCAATATATGGTGTTACCTTGTATTGATATTGCTGAGTAAATGTAGAATTTGAATCTATTTTAGGTTTAATCTCACAGTGAGCAAAATTTAATATGTGAAGTGTGTGTAGGGTTTGTTCAGGTGTGCAGCCTTATTAGAAGTAAATTCTTAAACTCTTGTTTGATCACATATCATTTGTAGCCTATTGAGGTAGTGTGGAAAATCAGAACAGGTCCAGGCTATCTGGATTTTATCATTTACAGCCTGTTGAGGTAATGTGGAAAATGTTCTCCAAACAGGCCCAGGGTATCTGGGTTTTAGATTAGAAAATTATATTTGTAAATGGGTTAAAAGTTCTGATTTAAAGGCTTGTAGGTTCTTCACAATCTGGATTTGTCTGAAAATGATCATATTAAGGAAGAGAGATCTCAACACTTTGCTCTCTTCATTTAAATTAATTTAAAATTAATTAAGATCTCCATAGTTGTCTTGTTATATCCTTTCAAAGGAACAACCACTACTTTTCTTTCTAAAAATTGGTTAATAGTTAAAAAGTTTGCTGTTGAGCTTAGTTCTTTTAGACCAGGATGTTAGTTTATTTGCTGTGTCAAATAAACCTCATTTTGGAGAGGCTTCTCTTTATGTCTTAATGAATCTTTTTAATAAGAAATATTATCCATTTAAGATTCAATGGATTAAGCCTCATAGATGAGAAACCCTTAAAATCAGTCAAATTATAGGGCCCAAGAAAGAATTACTGGTATTTTTATAAGGAATGCTAAATTGTGACTCTCAATGATATTAAAGCTCAGCTTTTCCTTTGATACCAGCTGGGAAGGGGCTGAAAAGTGACTGTTCCAAAACCAGAAAGTTTATAAAGTTTATAAAATAAACTATTATTAAACAAACTAGTTAGTTAACTGTTTAGTTAAACTAACTAAATATTTTTTATATTTAAATGAAATATTTTTGTATTTAAAAATACACAAATATTTTGTATTTAAAATATAAAATATTTTATAAAGTTTATAAAATAAAGTTTATAAAAAAGGGTTTATAAAATAGACTTTCTATCAGAAATTTTATTTATTGTGATTATGGGGAAGGGCTGGTCATTGTTTTTTGTTCTTCTTAGACTCAAAGATGTGCCCTGGAGACTTTAAATTTCTCTCAGTGAGTGGCAGCTGTAGGTTCATGAGCTCTTTCTTTACAATAATTTGCATGATATAACCAGCTTAGAAACGTTGGAGAGGAAGGGAAATTAATTTAAACCCTACCTGCTGTACCTTCCAAAGGCTGCTTTCCTCTTTGCTAAGCTCAAAATATCTTCGGAACACTGTGCAGCATTTTTTTAGTAAACCCAGAATTATTTTTTGCCATTATTTGTTATTTGGGGGTTTAAGTAACTTTTAACACAGGCAACATTTGCTTTGCAGCTCCCACTTGTTGTGTTTGACTAAATGAGGTGTTTGAAGGGATAAGCTGGAAAACCCATGGGGTAAAAAGGGTTTTAAAAAAACCTTAAAAAGGTTTGAAAGGTTTGAGCTATCCTTCAGTGTGTCAGGGGTGAAATTATGTGAAATTAAATCTTTATAAACACATGTACACCGTGCTGGTGTTCGTGTGCAGCCTTTTGGGTGCTCATGAGGAAAGATGAATTCCTCCTTGTCCTTGAATGAATGAAGTGAAAACAGCTCTTACCACTGGCACTGTAAATCACAGTCCTGGAGGTTGGGAAAGAGCTCTGAGACCATGGTCCAGCCCTGACCTGCTGTGCTCACAGTGACTTCAGCCTGAGAGCACACCTGGAGGTGCCTTTGCAATTCCTGCTTGTTACTGCAAGTTGGTTGTTTTGCTCTTCAGATTGTCTCAATTTTATTTTAAAATGCACAATTTTATTTCTTTTTAAAAACAGAGGCCGTGGGAGCATCTGGTCAGCGTCCTGTTTTCTGCCCTGTCCACAAACAAGAGCAGTTAAAACTTTTCTGTGAAACCTGTGACAGGCTGACATGCAGAGACTGTCAGCTGCTGGAGCACAAAGAACACAGGTACAAATATACAAATATTCCCAAACGTGTCTGAACTCCTGTGCTGTGCTGTCTCAGAGGATGAAGTGGCATTGGTGGGAGCTGCTTGTCTTGGAAATTCTGCTGCATTTACTCCTGGTTGGACTGAACCCATCCCTTGCAGAGAGCTGTGGTATTTTTTGGGTCCAAAGGAAGGAATGATGAATCTGACTCCATGTTCTCAGAAGGCTAATTTATTATTTTATCATCTATAATATATTAAAGAATACTATACTAAACTATTCTAAAGGATACAGACAGAAGGCTAAAAGATAATAATGAAAAATTTGTGACTCTTTCCAGAGTCCTGACACAGCCTGACAGTGATTGGCCAAGAAGTTAAAACAATTCACATGAAAATAATGAAACAATCACCTGTTGGTAAACAATGTGCAAACCACATTCCAGAGCAGCAAAACACATAAGAAGCAAATCAGATCATTATTGTTTTCATTTTTCTCTGAGGCTTTTGAGCTTCTCAGGAGAAAATCCTGGGCAAGAGATTTTTCAAAAAATGTGACAGTGACAGGAGAACCTGTGTGGAATGATGGAAACTTGGTCAGTTGGTTGAGCTCTGTCAAGCCCCCAAAGATGAGATTCACACCAAGCTGGGCTGGGGAGGTTTGGTGTGATTCAGGTGTGAATTTGCCTGGCAGTTCCCAGTGCTATCACTGTGCTCAGGGCTTGAATGGAAATTCCTGCAGCCCTGAACACCTGGTGCTGTAAAAGAAGCAAAAGTGCTAGAGTGAGTCATGGGTGAGGTAATTTTCTGAAAGGGCATATTTGATTGTGCAACAGTCTTTAGGGGAATTTTGTAAAGGAGAGTCTAAATTTTGCCTCTTACATTAGTGTATTCTTCTGGTGCAGAGGGGAAGAGTGGTTTGGGTTTAGCTGGTTGAAAGTTGCCCCATTCCAGGTAAAAAGAAATGCTGGGGTTGCCTCTGCTGGAAAAGGAGTTGGAACCCCTTTAGGACACATTCCAGCAGCTGTGCCATGTAGTTGTTTGAATGTCTGAACAAATATTTTGCACTGTTATAACAGAGAACATGGGGATAATACATATTTATCAACCACTGCACCACTGCTTTTCCTTCACTCTTCTCTCTAAAGGTGTAATATTGAATTTAGTGTTCTGTTTTCCTTTTAATAATTTTTTTTTTAGAAAAACTATTCTGTTTTTCTCAGATTAGTGATTATTCTCAGACTTCTACAGCAGCCTGTGGAAAACTTACTTTTGAAATTCTTATTATTAAAATATTAACACCCTTAAATATTCCTGCTCTGTTTGTTCATAGAGCAGGAATATTTAAGGGTGTTAATTCTCCATTGTTATCCTGGAGACTCCCTTCTCACAAAGGGTGCTCTCCTGGGATATTCACTGACTTGGTCCAGTTGATTTCTTTGCATCTGTTCTGTGCGTGTTACTGATGGATTAACAGATGGATCTTGTCCTACTTACCTGTGCTCTTCCAGAAGAAGAATTTATTGTTATTAATGTGCTTTTTTTCCCCAGAATATTCTTTCCATAAGGTTCTGTGTGCAGGTGTGGATTACAGATGATTAAGGCACTGCTTTGTCTGAAATACAGCTGAGATTTTGTGGAGAATCATGCCAAGTGGAAAAGGAATTGATTTTAATTCCCTGTTTTCTTCTTACCTGAAATCCTGTTAGTTAACCCCAAAAGAGGGTGAATCACCACTTCAGGACCTCCATGGTCCCGTGTTCAGTCTCAGTTTTAGAATTCCAGAATGGTTTGGGGCTGGAAGGGACCCTAAAGATGATCCAGTTCCACCCCTGTCAGGGCAGGGACTGCTGGGGATTCTGTAGAAAGCTGACAATTCTTTGGGCAGCCTGATGCTGTGGGATTCCTCTAATTTGAGTAGTTTCCAGTCCACACACTTGGGAAGCTGGAAGGACAACCCTGAAAAAAGAAAAGGATTTTGGCTGTAGCAGGAGCTACAGCAAAATTTTAGCAGTACAAGCTGAATGTAGGTTTTTCATTTCTTCAAGTGGAAATATAATTTTGAACTTTATGAAAATAATTTCAGAAAATCAGCAGCTCTCAAACACTTCAAATTTTGTTGTCTTTGGGCTTTAGGAATGCTACTTTTTTTGTATTGTAGTATCTAAAATCTCATGCTGCTGTCTGTCTGCAAAAACTTTAGACTGTTCTTAGGAATAGCAAAATTCCAGCACTGAGGATGAAGAATCTCAACTCTTGTAGTTCAGATTTGTCTGTCGTAGTATCTAAAATCTCATGCTGCTGTCTGTCTGCAAAAACTTTAGACTGTTCTTAGAAAAAGCAAAATTCCAACACAGGATGAAGAATCTCAACTCTTGTACTTCAGATTTGTCTGTTACTGGTACAAACTGAATTAACAGCAGTAGAGTTGTTTTTGTTGTGAATGAGGTTCTTTGTCTAAGTCCCTATTATCATGCTTGTGAGTCATTTAAATAAAAAAACTTTGAGTTTGATGACAATCCAGGCAGTCTTTTCCTTTGGATTGTAATGTTCTAGATTGCAACAGAAGACAACACTAATTTCTTCTTCATTTTCTTTGGAAGATGGTGTAAGTTGTTTGTAATGCACCTTATAGAATGCTTCATTAATTGCAGCAATTTTCTGCCAATTTGAATATTGGGAAAACATTGCCAAGGTGTTCTGGGACATTAAGTTTTCCTTGTTGTTAACAAATTACATTTCAGAAGCATGAGGTTTATTTACTGCCAGGACAAGACTTAGCCAAGTGACAGGAATCCTGGATTTTGAGCAGTTGATCAGAAATTCATGGAGCTGCTTTAATTCCCCTTGGACATTTTCAGCAGAAGCATTTTGCTTCTGTGGCATTCTTAATTCCAGTATTTTAGGAAAAGGCACCTAATGCTGGTACTTACCCTCTTTTCAGATGAAGTCATGGAAAGTACCTTTGATAGCAGCTGTTCAGTTGAAGAGCTTGGAAGGGAATAAATATTCTTCATTTGGAAGGAGCAGAGGTGGAAAAAACTTAAAGTTTTTTACTAGGGAAATTTTCTTCAGATGAAACTAATGCAGTCAAACAGGAGCAGTATCAGCTGAAAAACAGGGGAACTTGGGATAGTTTAGGGGTTGTTTTTATAGCCTTTATATCCTTGAAGCTTTTGGTGCATTTTCCTCACCAGACTCTGAGGATCCTGGGAAATGAGGCACTGCATCCCTGTGTGGTTGGAATTGAATAATTCCCACAGAATTTCAATCTCCTGGCCAGTAGCAAAGGACTTGATCAGCACTTCAGCATGTTGCACACTGGTCAGAGTATTCAGAGTCTGATTTTTCTCAGTGTTTTCTTGTTCTCAGTGGGTTTTTTTTCAACATTTCCTGGCTTTGTACCTGAGCTGGGGCCCTGAGTTGCAGCCCCCTGCCCCTTTTTAATCAGTGTCTTCTCTTGCCTGTTGGAAAGGTACCAGTTCCTGGAAGAAGCTTTTCAGAACCAAAAAGGTGCAATTGAGAACCTCTTGGCCAAACTCCTTGAGAAGAAGAATTATGTAAATTTTGCAGCTGCCCAAGTTCAAAATAGGTGAGTTCCCCAAAATCATCAGCTATTGCATTGCCTTTTTAATGAGTCACAGCAGGATGAATGGTGGGACTACAATAACACACTGGAGTTAATTCTACATCTTAATTACTTTCCATAATGTTTTTTTCCCCCTACAAGACTTTGCATCTCTTGGAAGTTCTTACAAGAAGTAAATGTTAAAGTGTTTTGTGACAACTTTGACTAGAACCAAAGGTGTGACACATTCGTTATACTTTGGGGGTGGGGGAGAAAAAAAGGAATAAAAAGGAAAGAAAACCCATCCTATAATTTCTTTTAAGTTACCTCTAGGTGACAGAACAGTTGAAATATTAAAATATTTTTATGTTTCATATTAGGGCCTCTGATAACTGTGTAACAAAAGCTTAGTGTGAATTTGAATAGGAAATTGTGGTTGGTTGTGGGGTTCAGATTGGGGGTTTTTTTGGGTGGCTTCACTTAAGATTTCCAGGGTTATCTGAAATTCAACGTCACGTTAAAAACCAAATCAGAGGCAGAGGGAGCACGTGATCTCTGCTGGCTCTGCTCCCCTGGCCTTGTGCTGCAGCTCAGGGAATTCCACCCTGGTTCTCTGTGGTTTGCTGAGCCTTCTGCAGCTTTTAGGTCATTTGCAAAATGACACATCAGCTGGGGGTGGAAAGTATGAGGGCAGGAGGAGGATGTGCACCAAGATAGAAAGAGAAGTTCTGATGTCGATTTTTAACTCCTTGTGGTGCCATCTATATTTAAAAAAAAAAAAAAAAGCAGTGTAAGGGAGGAACATACAGCATGACAGAGGGAAGCAATAAAAATTGGTATTTTTATGAGCTGGTTTTCTGTGGAAGTCTTTGGAAAGTCCCAAAACACAACAGCATTGTGAAGCATGGAAATGTTACACACTTGAAGAGACAGTCACAAAGACAATAATTAAACTGGGAGCTCAAGGATGTCACAAAACATTCTCTGATAGGAATTCCAGGCCAGGAATGGGTGATGGAATTAACACATTGTAATGGTGGGGATTTTTTGCCCAAGAGTTTCTGGCTTCAGTGAATTCAGTGAATTTCTGCAGCTGGGATTGAGTTGTGTCAAAATCTCAATTTTCTGCTGAGCCAAGTGGCTGGTGCAGGTGAGACAATTCATTCCACTGCTTTGCTGGTGTGTAGGACACAAAATCCATCATTTCAAAATCTTCAGGGAACGGGAAAAATAAAGGTGTTACAATTTTGTTGTCAGTGTTGGCAGATGGCACAAAATCACCATCATCTGTGGTGGTGGAGCATGAAAGTGTTGAAGGAGCAGCTCTGCTGGAATAATTGTTGGGTGCCAAAGCCAAGGGTGGATGCCATGGACTTAATGAAGGGTTGGTTGGGTGTTTTTTGGAGTAGGAGACCAGGCTGTGCTGCCATGAAAACCTCGTGTGTCCCAGGTGCCATAAAGGGCTTTGACTCCAGCAGGGTTCATCAGCAGGGAGTGTTGGTCCTGTGGCTGGATGACATCAGAGCCTTCATCTGGCAGCAAAAAAACTTTTCAAAAAAGGACAATTTAAGCCTTCACATTGGCTCATGGCAAAGAATTCTGCTGCAGTGTGATCTTGGTAGATTAAGGCAGTGTAGGATCAAATAAATCCAGAATTTCCATGAGTTTGAGAAGTGCTGTATTTGAAATTCTGTGGCCAGAGCTCAAAATGGACACTTGAACCTGAAGAAGCTGAAAATGTGCTAAAACTGAGGAAAAATGGCAGTGATGAAGAGGGTATAAAAATGTGGCAGTCAGTACTATTAAAGCACAAGAGAATAATGTAACTAATATCACAACATTAGTGAAATGTTTATCTCTTTATTGTGTATTAATTACAGGTCTGTAATAATTTTTTTCTTTCAAGGGAGGAATTAATGTGAAATTCAGGGTTGATTTCTGGTTAATATAAATGATCTTAAAAGTTTAAAGCATCAGATATAAATTTTTCATAGTGACAATTTGGATATAAATTTATATGTGTACATATAGACTCATGTGGTTGTGGCTGGTTATTTCCCGAAATTTCTCTGTATAAAGTGTGTAAACTACAAGAATTTCCATATTATTTGAAGTAAAACAAGTTGTGAATTTGTATTTGGCAGTGAAATGTAAAGTGACTGACAATCCATTGCTTTTTTTGTTGTTTTTTAGGATAAAAGAAGTAAACGAAACCAACAAACGAGTGGAACAGGAAATCAAAGTGGCTATATTCACCCTCATCAATGAAATCAATAAAAAGGGAAAATCTCTCCTACAGCACCTTGAGGTACACTTGAAATAAAAAGCAGGGTTGGTGTTGAGTTTCCAGTCCCCTGTTGAGGGGAAACATTTGAAAATGGTTTGTTTGGTGTGGCTGCAGCTATTGCAGCACTGAAACTGCCTCTGAGGGATGAGCTGGAGTTAAATCTCTCATTTCCCCTCTCATCAGAGCCAGTGGCTCCTTCAGTTTTGTGTCTGTGCCTTGTATTCAAAACTGGGCTCATTGTAAAGGCTGAAAATCTCCTTTTCATGTTCTGTGTGCCATATTTGTGTTTTATAACATAATGCTAAGATGTGTATAATTTAATTATTCCCTCAAATAGTTTTTTAATGTTCATGTAAGGACAATCAGAGCAGTCTCTTGTATTTGTACATGAAGGTGTAATGCTGGTATTTAAAGTTGTATTGTACAACTTCAGAGACCATGAGTTCAAGCCTCCTTTCCAGATGGCGTGTTCTGAATAATTGCACTGTGACTTCCATTAAAATCCATGAAAATTTTATCTGAATAGAGGAAATCTGTTTTATCTGAATAGAGGAAATCCCTTGTAAGAAGTTGGTTCAGTGCATATGGCCAGCCTGCCATGAAGAATTTAAGATCAGATGAATCACAATAGATTTTTCCTGGTTAAGGAGCAGTAATTTGGCAGGGAAATCGAATGTTCCTGGAAGAATAGAGTAACTTGATCATTAGTAAAAGAAATAATATAAAATTACATTAACTTTGGCTTTTCTTATTTACCTAGCATTTATTAAAGTTTCCTTGGGAACTTTCCCTTTTGATCCAAAACCTGCCAGCATTTTGCATTTTCCTGCTCCATCTGAAATCCCCACTGTAATAAATTACTTTATGATTTACGATTACTTTGTTGTAACAAAGTCTCTGTTTCTTTGCAGAACGTGACAAAGGAGAGGCAGATGAAGCTGATCCAGCAGCAGAATGACATCACTGGTCTGTCACGGCAAGTGAAGCACGTGATGAACTTCACTAATTGGGCCATTGCCAGTGGCAGCAGCACTGCCCTGCTCTACAGCAAGCGCCTGGTGAGGCCACCTGGGCTGGGCAGGGCAGGGAAGGGCTGAGCTGCAGGTGTGGGGTACCACTTGTGGGTTTCTCTGGGTCTGGATTGAAGGCACTGGAGGTGATAGTTCATGTTCAGACTCTGGTGTTTATTATTTCTCATCAGTAAAACAGTCTCACTACTGTGAGTTTGGCAGCTTTTCATTAGAAGGCACAAAATGATCAAAAATCTCTTGTTACAAGGTCTTTTAAGACTAAACTATCCAATTAAGAACTGACACCTGGATTATTTTCCCTTTTAACCCAATAACTGATCCCACAGAGCCCCAGTGCAGACTATTCTGCCCAATTACAAAATGCCACCCAAACCCCAGAAGAAGAAGGCAGAAACAGCATGAAGAAGAAACCCAGGACAGCACCCTGTGCCCTCCATCTTGCTTCCATCCACAACATACTAAAAATCCCAAATCCTCAATTTCTCACAAGTGACACACCTACACCACTCTCTAGAATCTGTTTCACACTTTTGTGGGTTCCAGTCTATCTGAAGTCTAGGAAACTTTCTCCATGAATGAGGGTCAAAGTCAGTGCTGCCCTGGGGGTCAGGGCACCCCAGAGCAGACAGAGAAATATTCCCTGTGCCCTGGGTTTCCACAATCAGGGAATAATTAGCACTGACTCCATGATTGCAGAAGGCTGATCAATCTCTTTATTGTACTATATTATACTGTGCTATACTTCTCAAGAAGCTCATCCCCTTCCAGACAGTCCAATACAGCTTTGACTTAATTGGTCAATCAATCCAAACACCATCCAGTATCCAATTAAGAAATTTGGTAAACCAATCTCCATAACACATTCCACATGTGCACAACATCAGGTGCAGCAAGTGGAGATAAGAACTGTTTCTCACTCTTTTCTCTGAGCCTTCTCACAGCTTCCCACTAAAATCCTGGGAGAGAGCTGTCTCTCTCTGTCCAGAGGATCTGTGATTGACTCACCCACAGGGATCATCCAGTGCAGCCCCTGCCCTGCACAGACACCCCAAAATCCCACCCTGGGCATCCCTGGAGTGTTGTCCAAACACTCCTGCAGCTCTGGCAGCCTTGGGGCAGTGCCCAGCACTCTCTAAGGGAAGAACCTTTCCTGTTATCCAACCTAAACTCCCCTGGCACATCTCCAGCCCTTCCCTCAGCTCCTGCCCCTGCTCACAGAATCGGAGCTGTCCCTCTGCTGCTCCTGAGGAAGAAGCTGCAGCCCCCAGTGAGGCTCCCAAACACAACACCATTGGGGGACACAGAAGTGTTACACACTGAAGAGACAGTCACATAGGCAGTAATTAAACTGAGAGCTCAAGAAATGTCACAAAACATTCTCTTGATAGGAATTCCAAGCCAGGAATTCCTCAGGCTCCTCTTGTCCAGCAGAATAAAGTGCCCTCAGTCAGTACTTGTGTGAGTGACAGACTTGGCTGTGCAATTCTGTCCCAATCCCTGTGTCCAGAGAGGGAAAATGTTCCAATATACCTGGAGTGAGATCAGACACAAAGTGAAGTGTTGGTAACCAAAAGGATAATTCACTTTTATTGACATGAATACACCCAGTTCTGCACATGCAAGCCCAGGGCTGTGCTCACCACTGCTGCTCTAGACCATCACTCTGTCACCAGCTTTCCCAGTCTGGGAACACGTCCTGAGCCACAAACACAGGGAGCAGGAGAATCAAATGTATCCAGAGTGAGATTAAGACACAAGTGAGGTCAAATGTTGGTAATCCAAAGGATACATCCAGTTCAGCCCTGTGGGTCCATCATGGCACTGTGTCTTCAGATCTTACAGCAGAGCCAAGCAATTGTGCAACAATTCACTCTTTACCATAAGGGTTTAGGGAGTGTTGGTGTACAAGGAATGGGGTCAGCTCTGTGAAGGCACCTCGGCGTTTCACTGGAGTAATTTCAATAATGTTGTGGTGTAAGAGTGCTGCTCTGCAATCCTGAGAGTAAAGAAGTTGTACAGTGTGGGATTTTCCTGACAAATTGAGAATTTCCCAGGCTATGAACCAAACTTGCTGCTGCCCCTCCTTGTTGGTGTTCCAGGGCCTAAACTCTCAGGGTAAACACACCCTTGTTTCTCATTCTGTCTTTCTCTGTCAGCAGCAGAGTGTTTTTGTTTTCTCTCAGATAACCTTCCAGCTGAGGCACATCCTGAAGGCGCGCTGCGATCCCGTCCCTGCTGCCAACGGCGCCATCCGCTTCCACTGTGACCCCACCTTCTGGGCTAAGAATGTTGTCAATTTGGGTGAGAAAACCCTGCTTGTTCAGTCTGTGATTCTGGTAAAACTGTTGAATTGGGGGTGTTCCTCCAACAGGAGTGAGTGCAGTGCAATACATCTCTTAATGCAGGAGACAAAAACTCTCTTGACCATAAACTCTCATAACCCACCCAGCCCTGATTATCCTCCTTATCTGCTCTGTTCTTTCTATTGGCAAAGCTTTCTCTAAATAGGTATTAAAAATATTATGCATAATAATCTACAATAATTATCTATCTATTATAAATAGATATTGTTTTCCAGTGGGAATGGTTCTAGGAATGGCCCTAATCACAGAATCACAGGGTGGTTTGGGTTGAAAAGAACCTTAAAAGTCATCTCATTGCACCCCCTGCCATGGCAGGGACACCTTCCACTGTCTCAGGCTGCTTCAAGCCCTGTCCAACCTGGCCTTGGGCACTTCCAGGGCTGGGGAATCCCGTGCTATTTCCAGTATATTAAATATAATCATTTAGAGTTTGCAAAGTACAGGTTTGGAATGAGAGAAGAGGGCAGAGCACAGTGAGACAGAGATACCTGTTAGCTCCTGGGTGTGAACTTCTCTGTTGGATAAAAATTTCGTGGAAAATCTGGTCCAAATACCAGTTTTTGTGTGTACTCACTCCTTGCTCTGAGTCTACCATGCAGGCTGGGGTGTTTGTCTTCAGTCAAGAGTGTTTATTCTCTGGGGCAGACAGGAAGCAGAAAGGAAACTGCCAACCTGAATAAAAAGGGATGTGCAGATTCTACTGAGTACACATTCACAAATTGATTTAAAAACCAACATTTTGCCTTTCCATATAAAAATAGACAGGAGTTACCTGGAGAGGCAGCATGGTCCATGACATTGGAGCCAGACAGGACTTGCTTGTAGCAGTGTTTGGTGTCATGTTTGTAGAACCTGTTTGAAGTCACTGGGTGGTGGGACACTCAAATATCTCTTCCAGGCTTTGCTTCTTTAGACATAGAAACCTTATGCTTAGCATGTTTGTTTCCTGTTTTATTTCTCATCTTGTCCTTTTCTTGTGAACACAGAAGTCATTTCTGTCTGTTGTGGCTTTTAGGCTGTGCAGTTCCAGTTCTTTCACTCTTCCCTCACAGATCATATTTTTAATTTTGCACTTAGTTCTTGTAGTCTGAGTGCTATTTTTGCTTTTATAGTGTATGGTTATTGAAGACAGAAAGAACTTAAATTTTAAGCTTTCAAGCTTAAATTGCTCTGAGAAAACTGCATTAGAAACATCTGAATATTCCACATATGTCAGCCTTTGGAGGATGATGAGATCTAACTGTTGATTGCCTCTTTGGGTTTTTACAGGTAACCTGGTGATTGAAAATAAACCAACCCCTAGTTACACTCCCAATGTAGTGGTTGGGCAAACTCCTCCAGGAACAAACCACGTCAACAAAGCTCCAGGACAAATCAATCTGGCCCAGCTTCGACTGCAGCACATGCAGCAGCAGGTGTATGCCCAAAAACACCAGCAGCTGCAGCAGATGAGGATGGCCCAGCCATCCTCTGCATCCGTGCCCAGGCAGAGCAGCCCCCAAGTCCTGCAGCAGCAGGTGAGTCCTTTATGGGTTCTTATTTCACCTTCTTTCACTTTATTTCACCATAACACTGAGTTTAAAATTGCCCTGTCAGATCTAAACTTGCAAAGCAATTCATAAAGTAAAATCTTTGGAGATTTGAGATACTTTAATGTGACAGCTCTTGGCTTTGCTTGATGTTATGTTACTACTGCTGTGGAAAGAGATGGGCTTCTTTTCTCCATGTTAAAAGCACAAATTTTAAAAAACCCAAACCCTTGCAGCCTCCCAGGTTGATCAGCATGCAGACCATGCAGAGGGGTAACATGAACTGTGGGGCTTTCCAAGCACATCAGATGAGAATGGCTCAGAATGCTGCTCGTATACCAGGAATCCCACGCCACAATGGACCTCAATACTCCATGATGCAACCTCACCTTCAAAGACAAGTATATCCTGTGTACACGCTTCATTGTGCCATTGTGCCAGCCTTTCATTCCAGTAGATGGTACCTCCAGCTGTAAATGTGTTTATCTGTCCCCCTGTAGCTCACAGCTACACACATTTATGTGCTTCTTTTCCGTGTTGCATTACTGTGCTGTGACAGTTTTGCTGAACGTAAGGAAATTCAAACCTCAGGGGTGGAAATGGAATGAAATGAAGTGTTTGTGTTGCAGTTTAGTTCTGGGAAGTAAAACGTTTCTTTTTGCACTTTTGAGTGGCATTCAGCTGAAAGGAACACTCAGAGGTTTATTAGAGAATAGTGAGGAGTAGGGAAGTTCAAAGTGATGTAGTTGAGGGGTTTTGATTAAATCAGCTGCTGAAGTGTTTTTAAATTCACACCTGAAGCATTGATGCAGAGCTCTGCATGCCATTAAGAATAAAAATCCTTGACAATGCATGTTAATGTGACTGAAATACCAAAAGTGACTTGATATTACTTGAGACAGTTAAAAATTAGACATGTAAATACTAAAGCTATCTCTGGAGGAAGTAATTGCTTTAAGAAAACACCACTGTATACAAAATAACTTGGCAGAAGAAATGCTGTCTGTTTAAAATCGAGCCACATCAAGTATTTTTTCCTTTCCAAGTGAAGAGGAGGAGCAGTTGCTCTGCCCTCAGTGCTGGCTGTGGTGTGAGTTTGGCCCTGTTGGGTGGGGGTCTCTGTGGGGCTGCGCTGCGGCGGGAGCTGCGCCGGCCCGTGCCCCAGCACGGTCTCTGTGTCTCCCCAGCACTCCAACCCCGGCCACGCCGGGCCCTTCCCGGTGGTCTCCGTGCACAACACCACCATCAACCCCACCAGCCCCACCACGGCCACCATGGCCAGCGCCAACCGTGGCCCCACCAGCCCCTCCGTGTCGGCCATCGAGCTCATCCCGTCCGTCACCAACCCGGAGAACCTGCCCTCGCTGCCTGACATCCCCCCCATCCAGGTCAGTGCTGCTCCTCCTTCTCTGCTTTTACACTTGGCTACAGGATTTGGTCGTAGAATGGTGTAATTAGCATGTAAATTGTAGAATTCAAACTCATTCCACCTATAAAATATTGTAAAAAGTTGTTCTCCGTCACCAACCTGGAGAACCTGCCCTCACTGCCAGGCATCCCTCCCATCCAGGTCAGTGGTGCTTGTCCTCTGGTTTTATAGTTGGGTACCAGGACTTGGCCAAGGAATGGTGTAATTTGCCTATAAATTGTAGAATTCAAACTCATTTCACCTCTAAAATATTGCAAAAAGTTGTTCTCTGTCACCAACCCAGAGAACCTGCCCTGCATGCCAGACATCCCTCCCATCCAGGTCAGTGCTGCTCCTCCTTCTCTGCTTTTGTGGTTAGGTGCCAGGATTTGGCCATGGAGTGGTGTAATTAGCATTTAAAGTTGTAGAATTAAAATCTTCGGCCTTTCTCTTAGGCATGCAGGTGGTTTATCCATGTAGGGCTGACCCGCTCCACCTGGTAAACTTTAGATTAATCAATATTTATTGTGTCCTGTAGTCCTGCTCCCCTCAGCTGCTCTGCTTTTGTAGTTAGGTACCAGGACTTGGCTGTGGAATGGTGTAATTAGCATTTAAAGTTGTAGAATTTAAACTCATTTCACCTCTAAAATATTGCAAAAGGTTGCCCAAGCCCTGGCAGTAAAATAGGAATTACTCCACGGCACCCACGGAGTTCTGGTCGTGTGGAGAGGATGAATCAAGCTCTTCAAAGAGCTCTAGTTAAGCTGCTGGTTGAGTCCCAGATGTCATGGATCAAATGTCTCCCTTTAGGCTTGTTAAGAATTAGAGCCCAGCCCTGGACAGACCTGGGACTGTTTGGGTTTCCCTTCCTGACCTTGCCCCACGAGGTTGCCACCTGTGAGGAAGGGGAAGCCAATGCCAAGAAATATGTTATGTCTATAGCACAAACCTCAGAAGGACCTGCTCCACCTGGTGACCTTTAGATTAATCAATATTTAATGTGTCCTGTAGTAAAATTAAGACTTCAATTAATACCAAATTCTGTGTTCACTTCCTTTCTTCCACAAGACCGTCTTGTGGGAAGATAGAATAATTAATGGTGATGTGTTTTGAGTGCTCTGAATGGTGATTTATTCAGGGTTAAAGCTGCCTGGAGTTTCTCTTGGATGCTCCTGGAAGGAAGCACAGAGGGGACATGTCCCATTGTCCCACAGAGAGGGGACACAAGCTGAGGTAAATTTTGAAGCTGATTTGGAGAGGTGAAAAGCACAATGTGATGTACACGTGGAGGCAAAGAAAATAAAAGTAATGTGTTTTCTTCAGGAGTGTTTGGGAGGGGAGGAGGATGATGGCTTCATCCTGAGAACAGAACCTTTGCGTTGAAATGCCCCTGTAAAACCCAGGAGGTTTGGTCAGCATACAGGAACCAAAATAAATTTCATCCAAGATGGTCTGCTGGAATGCCAGCTGCAACTATGCAACTCCTAAATGTTCAGGGCTGGTGTGTTCAGTGTTCTCAGGAGGCTGCAGGTCATTTTTAGTGTGAGAATGGTGGGGAAGGAGGAATCCCATCTCAGTGTGAGCAGTCTGCAGTGCTGAGGATTTAGAACAAAGCATCACCATGCAGCTTCCAGGTGCACTGAAAATGCAGAATTCTGCTGAGATATTCTACTCTTCTTTTTATACCTGTTCATGTAATAGCTGTTATGGATTTTAGTTGGGTGTAGTGGATAGGAAGTGTTAGTCCTTCAAGCTGCTGGCACAGTCATTAAAACCCACTTGGAATGCAGTGTGTTTCAAACACATTATTGCATTTAACACGTTTAACACATTTAAGCAGTTACAGCAACAGGGTCCCTGTTTCCTTGGGTTTAACACGTACTGAAATCTGTTTGAAAAGTGAGTGGGAGATTTCCCATCATGTTAAGGAAAGACAAGATGATGGCCTCCCTTAATATCTCAATTATGGAATAACTTCTGCAGCCTCAGAAATCTGGTATTTCATGACTAACACAGCACCATGTGTGTGACTGACACACTGAGCAGCTGGGAGCCAGAAAGTTTGCAGTGACCCTGTGTAAGTGCAGCCCAAGATCATACTGGAAAAAAACCTCAAATTTAGGAGCTTGTGAAAAACATTACTTGTTTGAAAGCCTGGTTTCTGCATGAAACTGATAAAAATATTTGCTGATGTCCTGAATCCTTGAAGGGAGAGGGAACAATTCCAGTAAAGACAGTGATGACAGTTTAAAGGTGTGAATGAGAGCTCTCTGATTCAGGTTTTTGTTTTTGCTCCTCAGCTGGAAGATGCTGGTTCCAGTAGTTTAGATAATCTGCTAAGCAGATACATCACAGGCAGCCACCTCCCCCCACAGCCCACCAGCACCATGAATCCCTCCCCAGGACCTTCAGCTCTGTCTCCAGGGTCATCAGGTAAATCTGATGGGTTTTTCTAGTTATTCCAGGGTATTTCTGGTATTTAAGTTGGAAATAATTGCCTAGCATTTCCTGCCAGAAGGGAAGCTATGTTTTATTTAAAATTTGTTTTGCTCAGAAGTAGATTCTTCTGGAAATTTAAATTTTACCCTCCTTTAGAAATGTCTTTATTGTAACAAACTGCCAGCACATGGATGCAGTATTCCAGATATATATATATATATATTTGTGTATGTGTATATTTATATGTACCCATATAGAGGCACTGTCAGGGTCATTCTGAGTATAACTAATTAATGGTAGAGCTTTTCTTGTGCACGTGAGCAAATGAAGTCACCAGTACCTAATGCTGAGGTAGTTAAACATTGAAAATGTCTATTTTTATAAGTAAGAAGATTATTTCAATCAATAGGAAGAAATCCTTCCCTGTGAGGGTGGGCAGGCCCTGGCACAGGGTGCCCAAGCAGCTGGGGCTGCCCCTGGATCCCTGGCAGTGCCCAAGGCCAGGCTGGATGGGGCTTGGGGCAGTCTGGGACAGTGGAAGGTGTCCCTGCCATGGCAGGGGTGGCACTGGATGGGCTTTGAGGTCTCTTTCAACCCAAACCACTCTGGGATTTGATGTTTCTCTTGGTTTTCTCTACAAGACATACAAGATCCTGTCAATGAGGGGGTGCAGCATTGGGGCTTCCTGTTTCTCCAAACCTGCATGCAAACCATGCAGAGGCTGCTTTCTTGACTTTATTGGTGGCTCTCAGTGCATAAAGTTTAGGATGTAATGGTCTGAAGGCTTTAGCACTGTTTGGATTAGGTGAAATAATTACTGGGACTCTAAGAGCCATGTGTTGTCACTTTTTAATTTATTGTGATGTGCTGGATTTGTTGTGATCACAAGACTGAGAGAACAGCTGGCTTAGGTGACTTGGTAAATTGGGATATTGCTGCAGCATTTCTGGGCATACTCAGCACAAGTCAGTGAACGTAAACCTGTACCAAATCAACTTCTGTGCTGCTTCTTTGCAGGTTTATCCAACTCCCACACTCCTGTGAGGCCCCCCAGCACCTCCAGCACAGGCAGCAGAGGAAGGTGAGTGTCACATTAATTGTCAGGCTGAAAAAATGAGACATGAATAATTCCAAAAAAGAACTGGCAATTGGCAAATTGTGCTTTGTCATAACTGTGACCGAGGAATGGATGAATGCTTACATGAAGATTTATATTTTAATTTTTTCTTCCTGCACTATGATTCTCCTGTGTCTTGTAAACTGGAGCTGTTGTAAATGTGCTGACACCCTTTGCCTTTCTTTTGGGAAACAGTTACCTGAATTTCTTTGCCCTGTTGATTTATCCTGTTATTTATCCTGTGATGTGCTGATGTCTCTGCAGCTGTGGCTCCTCGGGCAGGACTGCTGACAAAACTGGCATTGGCTTCAAGGCTGACCAAGTGAAAGTCAAGCAAGAGCCAGGCACAGAGGAGGAGATCTGCAGTTTCTCAGGAACAGTAAAGCAGGAAAAAACAGAGGATGGCAGAAGGAGTGCTTGCATGGTAAAGTTAGTTTATGCTCAGTGTTTTCCTGGCAGCATGTTTAAGTATTTAAAAAGGGAAAAAAAAAAAGGCATTTTTACTCTGAAGTAAAAATACCTTCTAAGAGGTATTTTCTCCCTGGTAATGCTTTGCCAGGCACAGATTGGCCTGTAATGTAAATTTTATCTTTAATGATAGAAATGAAGTGTAATAGAGTGTATTTGGTGCTTTTAATCACTAATTATTAAAAGCTGTGAGTCACCTATTGAGAGTAGACATTCCCACGTAGGTAATTGTATTCAGAAAACCTCTAGTCAGTCAAAAGTTCCTACACCAAAGTATAAATCAAATAATTAGCAAATTAATATTTTTCATTGTTTCCCAGCTGTGCTTGATTGAACAGGATTGTGTACAGACAGCAGGGTGGTGGAGTTGAGGATTTTTCCTAATGACAATCAAGTTGTCATTAACAGCTTTTAATGACTCAGTGTGTTTGGTTTGTTATATCATTTCTCTTGTTATATATCAGAAGAAATGAGAGTGTTCTACAAAGAAAGGACCTGTGAAAAAGCAGTTTTCAATACTGTTTGCAGCTCAGGTCTTCCTCATGGTTTCTCGTGGTTTTTGGGATGTGAGCATGGTAACCTTTGAATGATGGGAGGATTTTGAAGAAAGATCCTGCTGCAAAACCAACTCTGATTTTCCATGCGCCGCTTCCATTGCAGCTCAGCAGCCCCGAGAGCAGCTTGACACCCCCACTATCCACCAACCTCCACCTGGAGAGCGAACTGGAAGCTTTGGGAAGCCTGGAAAACCACGTGAAGACAGAGCCAGCAGACCTGAGCGAGAGCTGCAAGCAGCCTGGGCACAGCCTGGTGAACGGCAAGTCGCCGGTGCGCAGCCTCATGCACCGCTCGGCGCGGGGGGCAGGAGAGGGCAGCAACAAGGACGACGACCCCAACGAGGACTGGTGCGCCGTGTGCCAGAACGGGGGGGACCTGCTGTGCTGTGAGAAGTGCCCCAAGGTGTTCCACCTCACCTGCCACGTCCCCACGCTGCTCAGCTTCCCCAGGTACCCGCAGCAGCGTCGCCGGGTGGGCTGGGGGGGTGCACGGAGCCCAAAGTGGTGTTTCCTCCAAAATCAGCTTGGTCTGGCTGTGAATCAGCTGGTTTCTTGTACTACAAAATGTCATCTTCTTATACTATAAAAGTATTATATTCTAATACTACAAAAATAATATTCTTATACTATGAAAATATAATATTTTAATACTACGAAAATGTCATATTCTTATACTATAAAAATGTCATATTCTAATACTACAAAAATATAATATTCTTATACTACAAAAATAGAATATTCTAATACTGCAAAGTATAATATTCAAATACTACCGAAATATAACATTCTAATACTAAAAAATGTCATATTCTAATACTACAAAAATATCATAATCTTATGCTACAAAATATAATATTCTAATACTACAAAAATATAATATTCTTATACTGCAAAAATATCATATTCTTATACTACAAAAGTATCATCAGGCCTTGGCTGAGTTGTTGGTGTGCAGCTGATCAGTGTTTATCTGGTAACAGAATCCTGTTCTGTTTATCTGTTTGTGTCAAGTCTCACAATGCAATTCTGTTGTGTAAAGTTCATTTTAAGGCAAGGTGAGAAGGGTGTACTATAAAGTTAATACTTTATAAAGTATTAAAGCTTCATATGAGGGCAGGAAAAATGGCCTTGACAGGCAGAATTCTTGTGAGCATTAAGGATCAATCCTTAGCTTTGGGTATCCAAGTCTTTACTGCAGTAGAATGTGAATCTTTAAGAGTGAGTAAAAACTGTTTGTAGTCATCACTGATGAGAATTTATCCCTGCATGTCTGGAATAATTGTGGTTTTCTCTTTAGTGGAGAGTGGATATGTACATTCTGCAGAGACCTGAGCAAACCTGAAGTGGAATATGATTGTGACAATTCCCAGCACAGCAAGAAGGGCAAGACAGCACAAGGCCTGAGTCCCGTGGACCAAAGGGTGGGTGTCAGACCTGCAGGAATGTGCTCCCCAGGAAAATGCTTTCCCACTCAGCTCCCCCCACTGACTGGAGAGGGGTTTGCTTTGGCTGAAGCAAATTAAATGTAGCTATGGCTTTGCAAAACAACCCAAATGAGATTTTTCCTGCTGTGGCCACATCTCTGACTGTGGGAGTGCCTCAGTGCCTTGGGACTGTAATCACTGAGGAGCTAAAATTCAGCATGAACACAAATTCTGTATTTAAATGCATCATTTAACATGCACTTGATTAAAAGTCCTTTGCATTTAGCATTCATAAAACATCTCTGTGAGCTTGGTGTGTTGAAGTGCATTCTGTGAGAGGTGCTGGGAGTGTTCAGGTGCATTCGTGGGGAATTTTAATGACCTTGACAGTCAGAATTATTTTTAGCTTTATCAGTCAGCCTCTGTGTAGTGTTAGGAGTATTATCAAATCAAAATCCTCTAAAGGAATTACAAGCAAGCTAGGAAAAATATTTCAACAGGAATTTTGTAGAAACACTCTGGCTCTGCTTTCAGATTCTTCAATTTTGTCTTGTGGGAAAAAGTCTGCAGCTCAGTCCTTTCCTGTTACATGTGGTTGTGTTGGACAAAAGCAGTAAACGTGGTGGTTGTTATTATTTTATTTTTTAATTTGCATTATGTTAGCATGTCTCATCATGCTTGACTTCAGCTCTAGGCTTTTGGTTAGGAGGGAGAAAAAAAGAGGAAATTTGTGAACAGTAAATGGGGTTCTGCCTCTCAACTCTGCCCTCCTAAGAACTTATAAAATTAAGTTTGGGGGGGGTTGCATTTCAATTTTCTAGTACTGTGCTGTTAAATTAGAAGCCTGTTTAAAGTATGGATGTATGAATTTCTGGGCTAGGGATAAATTAAGAATATTAACCTGACCCTGTTTGTTTCTTTCTAAGAAATGTGAACGCCTCCTGCTTTACCTGTACTGCCACGAGCTGAGCATTGAGTTCCAAGAGCCAGTCCCAGCCTCGGTGAGTCTCCTGAAAAAGAGAAAAAGAGTCTCCTGAAAAAGAGAAAAAGTCTCCTGAAAAACACCTGGGGATTTCTGGAGCTGAATTTGGGAAGGAGCTGGCTGCTTTCACCAGGATCAGTCTAAAAGTTCTGGCAGTCATCCAGCATTTCATGGGTCTGAGAGGGAGAGCAGCTGATTCTGGAGCTGCTCCAGGCAGATGCTTCACTCCCAGTCTCAAAACCAGATATTTAAAAATACTTCCAATTAGCAGTTATTGAATTGGAACAAGATGTCTCAGGCTACTCGTGAAACTCAAAATGCTTTAGGAGGGCTTTTTGTTGCTGTTTTGGACAAACTTGTGAATGAGAGGAGGGAATAAAGTGCTTTTACTCTTGTGTTTTCAGCTGTAAAAGAAGTAACTGTAATGAAAAGCTTTGTTGTGCTGTGGGAGACACTGAAGGTTAGAAAGAATCCCAGAGTGGTTTGGGTTGGAAGGGATCTTAAAGCCCATCCAGTGCCACCCCTACCAGGGGCAGGGACACCTTCCACTGTCCCAGGCTGCTCCAAGCCCTGCCCAGCCTGGCCTGGGGCACTGCCAGGGATCCAGGGGCAGCCCCAGCTGCTCTGGGCACCTGTGCCAGGGCCTGCCCACCCTGACAGGGAAGGATTTCTCCCCAATATCCAATCTAAATCTACCCCACTTCAATTTAAAACCAATGCCCCTTGTCCTGTCACTCCATACTCTTATAAACAACTTAAAAAAGTTCAGTGTGGGGAAAGGAAATTGTTCTGCTTTGTTGAATGTGCCTGAAATGAGATAAGGGAATTAACCTTCAGTGTGGAAATTCAGCTGTCAGCTCTGTAGCCATTCAGTGCTAAATCACTGTTGGTTTTTTACAGATACCAAACTACTATAAAATCATAAAGAAGCCAATGGATTTATCCACGGTGAAGAAGAAACTGCAGAAGAAACATTCCCAACACTACCAGACCCCCGAGGACTTCGTGGCCGACGTCCGGTTGATCTTCAAGAACTGTGAAAGGTTTAATGAAGTATGTTAACTTCCAATCTGAGCTCCATTTGTCCTTTAAATGAAGATTTATTTCAACCTGATTGTGCAGTTTCTCCCCTGAACAGCTCTGCTTCCAGCTGTAACTTCTGCTTTTGGAGCAGATGCTGAATCAGACTCTTAAAAACCAAACAAAACTCAAGGCAATTGCAGGATAACTTCTCATTTTTAGTTAAATTAGGACATATTAAAATGCATTCAGTGGTATCTGTGACTGAGGAGAAGGGTGACCTGGTTACTGTGCATCACATTGATTGCAGAAGTGCCTAGGAAGTGCCCTAAAGACAACCAAAGAGTCCTTTAAAGTGTCCCAAGCTGCCCAGGTAATTGGTTTGCACTCTTGGAACATGGTAGAATCTGTTGAGAAACTTCCTCTACTGAGGAGAAATCTGCCTTTCTGAAGTTATTCTGGTTTTAGTACCCCACACAAATGAATCCAACAAAGCTTTGTGGCCATTATGGCTTTTATTAACCTTCCTGCTTGAGCCCCTTGGTAGTTGGGCTCTCATGGAAATCAGTTTTCAGTGGATAACTTGGGTATGGGGTCATACTTGTAACTAATTTTGCAATGATCCCATCTGATAATGAAATATCCCTTACACCTGAAAAGTGACTTGGGGAGATAAATGACCTGGATGTTACTGCGGGTTGAGCAATGTAAAAAATAATCTGAATATCCTGAAAAAAAACGGTGATATTGTGCTGAAACTGAGTGGGAGCTAAGGGAGTTTCTAATCTTTGAGATGCCTTAAAGTAAGAATGACAAAAGGCATCACAGGGAATGGCTTTCTTCTGACCTTAAAATGCAGAAAGCAGCCAATATTTCTTATTTCTCTGCAAAATGTAACCTGGATTTGCAGTGTTTGGGCTGCATTTCTGGCCCTGTGCAGAAGGAAACTGAAGGAACTGCATAAAGCTGCAATTAAAACCTCCCTAGGAAAAAATCTGGGTCAATGATGTGATGCTGGAACTGCTCACAAGCATTTGGGATTTTGACAGCCCTGACTCCTTTATGTCCCCGCATTAGGGGAGGTTCATGAGGTAATTTAATTATGTGAACTTCTCAATCAGGGGAATTAATGAAGCATCCACTCTAGAGGAAAACATGCTGCAGCTCTTAGAGACCAGAGTACAACAAGGGAGGAAGGACTGAGGGATGTGGTGATTTTTTTCATACTTTTTTCAAAAAGAAAAAAAATAAAAAAGTGTTTCATCTTGCCTGGCTCATGGCAAAAGTTGAGTCACTCTGACCTCTCACAGCAGCATCATGTCGAGTGCCTCTAAGCCAAATGCTTTTCCAAAGCAGAAATCCCAGTGGGGTAATCCCCAGGAAATCTCCTGGAGCTCCTCCCTCCAAAGGAGAATTTCCCACAAGCATGTCCAGGCAACTCCAGTTTATTGTGAGGAAAGCAGTCGTGAGTAGGAAATGGCTGGGAGCCGCTTGTACAAAAGTTGTGTGTTCTGTTGAAGGTTTATTTACCACCTAAGACTGTTTTAAACCTGCTGCCTAAGTTTGGGAACTAAAGCTAACAAACCATAACAAACTGTGTTGTTGTTATGGCTGACTTTAGTCATCCAATCCTGTGCGATCTCGTAACTTTAGAAAGGATTATAATTTCATTTTTTTTGACTCTGGTATCCTTTTTAGATGATGAAAGTTGTTCAAGTTTATGCAGAAACACAAGAGATTAATTTGAAGGTAAGCGTTTCAGACCATGCACACTTGGTGAAGGGATGTGCATTTCCAACAGGTGAATATTCCTGTCTTCTTTCATCCACAGGCTGATTCAGAAGTAGCACAGGCAGGGAAGGCAGTTGCATTGTACTTTGAAGATAAACTTACAGAGATCTACTCAGACAGGACCTTCCAGCCTTTGCCTGAATTTGAGCAGGAAGAGGATGATGGTGAAATAACTGAGGACTCCGATGAAGATTTTATACAACCACGTAGAAAACGCCTAAAATCAGATGAGAGACCAGTGCATATAAAGTAATCTAATGATATGGACCTAAAATTTATTGTAAAAACTGTTATTTAAGTGTTCCTGGAATATTATCATGCCTACAGTGGCCATCTTGCAGAAGCTGATAGCTTTTTAAACAGTATTAGATAACAAAACACTTGTACAGAAAAACATTCGCATCAAAAGGGGAAAAAACCTGTATTGTAAATTTTTGGTGGTTTGTATTTTTTTTTTCCTTGATTACTTGCTATATTCTTTCTTTTCCTGATGGAGGGGACACACTCCTGCTGGTCTCACAGACAGAGGTGGAGGCATGTTGAAGAGAAGCAGATTTGATAGGAGATGTTCCATGTACAGATCAGACTGTAGTGACACCACCTGCAGGACTGGACCCACCCAGTGACTGTGTCCTGCTTTACACTGCAGTGTAAACTGTGAGCAGAGCTCCTGAAACCCCCTCTGTGTCCACTCAAGTGTGTGTTGGTCGTTGCTTTGATCATCTCATTGAAGCAGGACTGTGAATAACTTGATCTTCTGTGTCCATCCAACCGTTGACATGTTGCTTTCTTTACTCCATTTCATGTATAGCAAAAGGAAGAAGAAAGAAAAATCATTAAACTGTTCTGAATGGGCGAGTGCAGGAATGGGAGGCAGATGAAAGGCTAAGCTGGTGGCTCCAATCCCTTTCAGTAGGACAAGGTGTATTTATTAAACTCCTGTGCCCAGAACATTTTAATGGCATCCATGGCAGAAGTCTCAGCGTTGTCATCTGTCCCTGACCCCCTGACGAGGCAGAATGTTCTCTCCAGTATTCATTCTCTACTTTTCTGTACTTAAAATGTAGACTGAAGAGGTAATAACTGGTTGGGGTGTTTTTCCAGTCTTCCTAAATATCAGTTTCTAATAAGACCACTCGGCAAACAATAACCTATTAACTACCAAATGTGTAAAATTTCCTGTATTCACTTTGTCTTATTTGTAAATAGTGAATTGAGATTTCTTGCAGGTCAGCAACATTTGCTGAACTGTTTTTAAGCTAATATGTATTCTTATTGATTGTTCCTATCAAGAAAAGATTTGTAATATATGCTATTTCTAACATTGCATTCATTTTGAGGTTCCGTCTTATTTTTCTTAGAGTACTTCTCAGAACTTTCTTCAGAAGCAGCTTGTGAGGGAAATGTGCAGGAAGATTGGAATCAGTCTGAGTTTGGGTTGCCTGTCCATCCACTGAACAAAACACTTGCACAGGGTTTGGCCTTGAGTGGTTTTTGGTCAAAGAGTGAGAACAGAACAATTTCCCAGTTCCCTCAGTAACCCTTGGGGCACCTCTGCAGTGCCTTCCCTTGCACTGCCTCCATCCCAGCATTCCTGGTAGGAAATCATGGAATCACAAGGACTTACAGCTCCGGGAGTTGTTTTCTTTACTGACTCGAGTCGGTACTAGAAATAAATGCAATTTCTGGCCTTCATGTTGATCTTGTTAAAGGAAGTTGAAGAATTCATGTAAGCAATGAGCTCGAGATGGCAGCCCCTGAGTTTGCCATTGTTTGTGTGGATCCAGCAATTCTGTGGGAGATCCCTGGGGGTTTGGTGTGCTCAGCACAACGATTCCTGTGACATTGGACATGCTTTACCATCATGGTAAAGAGAAATATTTTAGCACAATATCAAATAGAGAAATGCTCTCAGCAGTTTTTATGCAAATCACTGGTTTCTTTTATAAGAACCAGGTCTGTGTACCTTGGGATTCTCCCTCTTGCAATAAATGAGGGGACTGAAAATGTTTTTAACTTCCAGCTCACTTCTTCACTCAAATGTTACACTTCAAACTCAAACTGGTTGTTTTTTTTAAATTTCTTAGACATTAACAGTGCTGTTTTAAGTTTATTTTTTACCAGTTTGTATGTGAAAGGAAAAGGAATTCCACTTCAACATATTAAATTGACAAAGAGTGACAACTTTGCCTGTGGAAAAGCTGATGTGTGAATAGGACACTGGTAGTGACAAGGGATCATTTCATGGCTCTGTGTATTGCCTATTTATGCATTTCTAGTTTCTCAGCTTCATTTTGCAAAAGGAATATTATTAAAATTATCATGAAAATAAGATTCTGTGAACTCTCTTCACTCGGGGCTCCTGTTTCTGTGGCACTTCTGGTACCTTCAGGCCTCACCTTTTGAGCTCTTCCCTGGGCAGCAGCTGGGGATGGGATCCTGCAGAGACCCTGGGGATGAGCCAGAGCATGGGATGGGCATGGGGGATCCCAGGTGGAGCCCAGGGGATCCCAGGTGGGGCTCAGGAGATCCCAGGGGGTCCCAGATGGAGCTCAGGGGCTCCAGCAGAGTTCAGGGGATCTCAGATGGAGCACAGTGGGAAGGACTGACCCCAAACCCTCCAGGGAGGCTCGTGCCCCACAGCTGCTGCAGGACCAGGACCCTCTGCTCCCCAGCCAGACCCCAGAGCAGTTCCCAGTGTTTTGGGACAGCCTTTTCTTTGAGGTGGCCTCTCCAACACTTCACTCCAGGTGGAGAACTTGGCCAGCTCATGCTCAGCATCTTGACAGCAGGAGTGCAGCTGAGCTGGACCTTGCTGAGCCTGAGTTCTTCCCCTGCTCAGACCCCAGTGACCCTCCAGAGCTGCTCCTCCCATCCATCCCCAGGGCTCAGTAGGATTATGTGGAATTTTGAATGTGTGCAAGAAATCTCAAGTGTTTCCTTTATACAAGGAAACAAAACATTCTCTTCTTCTTCCCCTTTCATTTTTGATCTCCCAAAGCAGCAGTTCAGTGATTGTTTTGAAAGCAGCAAAGTTCTATTTGAAATGATTTGAAAGGGTAGATAAGCTCTGCTAATCCCTTCCCTGATCCTGCAGGCTGGGTGTTCATCACAGAGCTGGGAAGGGTTTGCTCAGTGGAAACAATTTTTGGTGTAACTCGTTACTGGGTTTGTATTAATGAGGCACATTCATTTTCTGGGCATCTTTTCCGTGCCAGCTGCTGGGTGTGCAATTTGTCAGTGGCTTTACCTGGGGAATCAGAGCTCAGTTTACATCAGGAAATCTGTAAAATTGGGGTGGCAGGAGGAATCTGGCACTTGGTGCAGCTCTGCTCTCATTTAAAATACTCCCAAAAATTTGTGTCTTTTGTGTCTCCATTTTGGCTGAGAATTTTTGTTGTCCCTCAAGTTTTAGGTTAATCCAAAGAAGGAAAAAGCAATTTGAAATGAGAGTGCCAGGTGCCCAGTGTGAGCAGCTGTCCTGCCATGGATTCCTGGTGGTGAGAGGGAATTCAGCAGCTAAACGGGCTCAGGGCTTTTATTTGGCTGTGCCCTGGAATTAAGTGGCCTAGAGCACAACGAGGCAGAGCTATTGTCCAAAAAAAGGGGATTTCCCCAACTTCTGCAAACAGAAATGCTCAGTTAAGTGTGGAGATGTTGTTCCTCTGTGGGGTGTCACTGTGACACACTTTATGCTGGATCAAACATTTCAAGTGACTGGAAAAGTCCCTAAAATGAGCCCAAATTTCTGGTTTATTGCCTGGTTTTGGCTGACCTGGAAAAGTTTAGGTTATTGCAAGAGTATTTTGAATCTGTTTGTGTGCTGTACTGGGAATTGGCTTTTCCCAGTTGGCTTTTCCTTGTTTTTCTCACTCTCTTCCTCAGAAAAAAGCAATAAAACTGCTTTGGCATTTGCCTGTCAGCATGACAGGAATCCTTTCCTTAGGATAAGGATTTTATAGGGAAGTTTGTATGCAAATCACAAAGCCTAGCTTTTAAAAACAAAGTCTGCAGCAGCTCCTGACAATATAGAGTGTGGCATTTTATTTTAAAAAATTGGGGAAAGTTCCATATTTTTTTAAGAAGTAGCTGTTTGAGCAAATAATGGAGGTACTTTTTTAAAATAAAAATGTAAATGCCACAGTTTACACAGATGGCACGTATGGATCGTGTCTTTGGGTATGATGATTTATTTTGTCTTCTCAAAGTGTGTGTGCAGTAACTCTTCCATCTACTTCCACTTGGCTTATGGGGATCCTTTTTTCTCTGCTTTCTGATGCATCAGGATTGAAAGAGCATTCCAAAATTGCAGTTCATTTGGGAATCTTTGTTTTAAGTGGACTAAGAAATGTACGAAATGCAGTTTGGGCCTTTTCTGTTGGGTGAAATCACAGCTGGAGGCTGCTGGCTTTAGAATTTATTTAAGAGAGGTACTGGAATATTTTGTAAGCTGGACTGTGGCAGGATTCAGTCTGGAGTGAGCTCCCCTGGCACTGAGGGATTTTTAGGCTCAGAACACCAGGACACATGTAAATAATCCTATACAGATTTGTGCAGTGCAAAGCTTGTTTGACATGTAAACATTCTCCTGGAAGGGTTAAATCATGGCATTCTTTGATTCTTCAATTATTTCCTGCTTCCAGTACTGGAGCTGGCTCATTTTGCACATAATAAACTTGCCTCATCTTTTAATATGATTCTTAAAAAAACCCCAAGTGCTGTTTCTGTGATATTGTATTATCTGAATCATCCTATTTAACTTTTTTTTTTAAAGTTATTGTTTCAAATTGTTCTGTTCCTGTGTTTTTTTGCTGGTGTGTAATTAAAATCAATTTTTTCTTTCCCTAGTTATTTAATATTTTAGCTGCCTGTAAATATTTCTTGTTAAGTGCTCTGGAATGTGCTGTAGAAGTTGTATTAGCTCAGTTTAAAGCATTGTTTGGAACCCATTTTGGTTGCTTATTTCTATTAAATTAGAAAAATCATTCTTTCAATTTGTGCTTCTTTCTTGCACATCATCAGATACGGATCCACACGTGGCACAAGACTTTCCTGACCACACCTGAAGTGTGGAAATAGGGTGAAATTCGGGCTGCAGGAGCCCAGATGAGCCTGCAAAACATGATTTGTCACATTTATCTACACCTGGGCATGGGACACAAGGGCTGGGAGGTCTCTGGACCTTTTGCATGCAGTGAAAAATCTGCACACCTGGAATTCTGCTGTGTTCCCTCACCTGGAGCTGGTGGATGTGCTTTGAGCTGCTCCCACTGCTGTAAAATCCCAATTTTTGTGTGGATGGTGCTGCTGGAGCCGTGTCCTGACTTCCCTGCTCAGAACCAGAGGTAGAACTGAGCTTTGCAGGTCTTGGGCTGGGCCCAGCTCAGCCCAGCCCAGCCCAGCTCAGCTCAGCTCAGCTCAGCCCAGCCCAGCCCAGCTCAGCTCAGCTCAGCCCAGCCCAGCCCAGCCCAGCCCAGCCCAGCTCAGCCCATCCCAGCCCAGCCCAGCCCAGCAGAGCCCAGCCCAGCCCAGCCCAGCTCAGCTCAGCAGCCCAGCCCAGCCCAGCCCAGCCCAGCTCAGCCCAGCCCAGCTCAGCCCAGCCCAGCCCAGCCCAGCTCAGCAGCTGGAGCAGGGACTGCTCTGACAGGAGCCAGGAATGGTTGCAGCTCCTGCAGCTGAGCACTGACCTGGCAGGAGGAAGGGGACTGAGTTTGCACCTGTGAAAAACAGGTTAAAGAATTTTTGTAAAGTTTAAAAACGGATAAAATAAGAGACAAAACTCCAGGGTTGGATTACGGCTTTTTCTGACCCACAGATGGGGCAACTGAGAGGTGTTTTAAAACCTTTAATTCTATTTTTAGTCTTCTAAAGCATCAAAGAACATTTTTTTTTCCGTTCAAGAAAGAGGGGGAAATGTGGGAAATGGATTTGTAGAAAATTCTCCAAACGTGACAGAAGGCTCACACAGTGTGCATCTGTATGCAAACACTGAGATAAGAAATGCTGACTTAGAAATGCCTCGGAATGAGACAGACATTGCTGAGAGAGAAATGGAACTGGAAACAAGTTTCAAAAATTTTTCTACGAATGCATTTCCAACAGCCAAAGAACACACCTGTGCTTACAGTGTTATCTAAAAAAAAAAAAAAAAAGTGAGAGTAGCTTCTGCTGCTTCTGCTCAGAACATCAGGACTCTATGGCAGAAAATTTTTAATTTTTTTACTACAGACTTTAATAATATGAACTGCTTGTCTTCGAGGCTGATGTATTAATACAATAAACAACTTTACACCAACCAACAGCTGCTCCTGTCTCTCTGCAGACCCAGGACCCAGGCAAAACTCACCACAGGTGGTTTGCACCCGAACTGTTGCACTTTCAGCCCAAACCTTGGCGGCACAGCTGATGTGGCTCTGCGTGGGCACCAGGGGTGTGAGGGCCCTGCTCAGCCTCCTGGGAGCTGCCAGAGCAGCAGTGAGGAGGAGGATGCCTTGAGAAGGCTGAGCTAGAACAGAGGCTGGACAGAGTTAAAGAATATAGCAGGGATTTATTAAAAGGATCCTCAATGGATCCACCTCGGGCAGCACAAGAGCCCAGCCAGGGCTGCACCCAAGATGAACCAAAATGGTCCCAAAATGCACGACTGGTCACGGGGTCTCTCACTTTTATCAGTTCTGCTCCATTCGCCTATTGGAGTTCATTGTCCAATTACATCTCCAGCCCATGCAGTCCGTCCTTCTGGTTTTTCTCTCTTCAGTCCATGTTATTTGTGGGCCTGAGATCTGGATCATTTGGTCCCCAGCAAGAGACGGAATTGTTTTGTGTCCCTGCTCTGTGCACAGAGCTCACCACAGCCTGATACGAAGCCCAGACCCACACACTAAAGCAGCACAGAGTCTGAAAAATAGAAAAGCTAAACCTGAGGCATCAAGGTCTCAGGGGGGTTGTTTCTCTTTGCCAGGTGCTGCCTGGCTGTGTCCAGAGCAGTCCCAGCTCCACCAGCCCATCTGCTGCAGCCCTGCCAGCCCATCTGCTCCAGCTCTTTGGGTGGCTGCAGTTGGCCTTTGTGGCTGGGCTGGCATCTGGCATTTGCAGCTCCTCTGTTTGACTCCGCTCAGGCTTGCTTGGATTTTCTTTCTCTTAATGCCCTGGGTTTAATTCTCCTGGCTTTAATTAATTCTCCTGGCTTGCTCCAGTGACACCGAGCTGTTCACCCCATCATACAGTTGCCAATTTTCACTTCAACCCAGGGTGAAAAATCCCATCCCAAAATCCTACCAAGGATTAGAAACGGCTGCTAAACTGTTCAACCCCTTGCTGCTATTGTAGAATTC